TTATACTTAATGTTTAATATTATTTTTATAAAATAAAATATTCATTTAGTTAAACGTTGATGATTTACTTAATATTGAATTTGAAGTGCTATGTATTAAATCAATAGAATGATATTCGCATTTATTCTCTTTAATTATTAAAACAAATAAGTGTAAATTAAATTTCAATATTGCCAATTATAATTAAAAAAGGTGTTAATATTAATAAATCTTTAAATTATAATTTATTTTTAGGAACAACAAATGATTCAACATCATTATTTTTTCTTTTGTTCTTCCTAAATAAATAACTAAGAAGTTTAAATTTAAGTTTAATACAACACTAATTAGTTTATTAATTAATATATTTTATGTCTTAGTATACAATGATTATTCAAAATAAACATTTAGATTACCTAATAAATGTTATTCAGATTAAATAGTTCAAGCTTTTAAAAAATATTTTTTGTTTCCTTAGTAATCAAACAAAATATTAAGGAAAATATTAAATTAGTTTTAATATCACATACTATTTTAAATTATCATGCTTTTTATTTTTTGTGATATATTTTAAAATTAAAATAATAAGTATAATTAAAGAAAATTATTTATATTTTGTAATTATTTCCATATATTATATATAATTTAAATCCCCTGTTGATCATTAGATTTATAATTTAAGTTAATAAAATAACACTTAAATTGGATCAGAATATTAAATATGATGAATAGAATGAACATTTTTCATGAAAATAGTTTTTAAAATTTTCCCAAAGATATTTAATTTAATCGATTTAGGACACTCTCTTAACTGCCCTTCTAAATAATATAATTTACTAAAGGCAAGTCAGCTAATTATAAGATTTTTGAATGATAATTATATATTATATCGAAATTTGTTATTTTAGGATTTATCATATAAAAAACTACTTTGTAAAATATGATATTAATGAATTATCTATTTTTTAAGCAGCCTTTTGTTTAATAGAATTTAATTTTAAATTGAAGTTTTAATCCTTTTGAGTTTTGTGAATTATTATTTGTTAATAAAAATGGATTTCTTAGATGACATAGATAAATTATGTCCTTATTTAGAGAAATGCTAAAATTTGATATGTGAAAGGCGACATCCTAGATGTTTAAGTGGAGTTTGCATAGGTTATTTAAAGGGAATTTGTTAAAATAATAATATTTGTGGATTACATCATTATTCATAAGATGATTTACAAAATGAATTGGATAAAAAACCCATAAATGGAATATATCAACATAATTTATGTTATAACAAATGCATTGATTAGTATTGTAGATATTTACATCCACCTTGGTTAAAATATATTTGTGCGGATTGTAAAAATAAAAAATGTGATAAAAAAAATGAAGGATTGTGGCATACTGTTAAATGGTAAGAAATATAAAAAAAAGTATATGAATTATATAATATTAATAAATTGAATCCTGAAAATTTTTGTAATGAAATAGATTGTTAATGTGGTGTTAAAAAATATAATTTAGATATATATTGTATCAAATATTTTTAAGGAATATGTGTTTATCATAGATGTTCACAACCACATAAAAATTGGGAGGATCTTAAAGAAATAGGAAATTTTTAGAATTTATAAGATTAAGTTATTAAACCTTGTATAAAATTTGATAAAAATAACAAAAAATTTGTGAGTTAATAATAAACATTATTATGTAATTTATATATGTAAAAGAATCAACTTAAAATGATGGTAAATTAAATATCATAAAGACCATAAGTGGATATCATCTTTATTTTAGATTGTACAATTAGTATGGATAAATGGATTGAAGTTTCAAGAAAAAATATAAGTTCTATAATTAATGAGTTTAAAAAAAAGGTTGAATTTAATACAGCAATTAGAATGGCTGCAGTATGTTATAAAGATCATTCAGATGGTCCAAATCATATAAAATATCATGATTTTACTGTAAATCCAGAAGAAATTGAAAAATTCATTGGTTCTTAAAATCCATCTGGTGGTGATGATATACCTGAAGACTTATAAGGAGCACTTGATGTTGCATATAAATTAAACATTTGTAGGGATCCTGAAAGTCTTTTATAGCTTTTTATAATTACAGATGCTCCATGTCATGGTAGGAAATATCATACATTAGCTATTGATTCAAAATCAGAGGCTCAAGATTTAGAAGAAAAACTATAAAAATTTGTTGATTTAAAATAACGATTTTTTTTATCCTTTTTATAAATTAATGAGTAAACCAAAATAATGGAGGAATTTATATAAAAAGTAGTATAATCAAACTATCAAAGTGCTAAGATAACTGATTAATAATTTACAGATTATATTTTATTTTCTCTATCTTCTACTTATGTAAAATCATAATCAATGAATGTAAAGAAAGATTATTCATATGTCTTTTAAGCTTAATATACAAAACAAAAAGAAATGATTTATAATTATAATTGTTAGTCTTAGAAATATTATGATAAAATTGTTGAATAAATTTAAAAAACAAAAAAACAAAATTAAACATTGTTATTTATTGAAAATGATGAATTTGAAGTTTTTAAAAAAGGTTAATCATCAGATGTATTTAAAGGATTTGATTAAAAAAATAATGTATATGTTGTGATAAAAATTCCTTCATAATTTATTAAAAAATACAATTAAAATGCATTAACTTAAGCAGATATTGATGAAGCAAATAAAATTGCAAAAACTAAATATATATAATAATTGATTGCAAAACAATTGAGTCATCATTTCAATTTCTGCTGCAGTACTAACAAAAACACTTAGTTTATTCCTATTTATTATGCAACTCCATATTTATATGATTTAGAAAAACCATTTAAGGGTTTGAAGTTCATATATGCAGAGAGTTATATTGATATTAATGAAAAATGGAAAAAATATACTAACAATACTGAATATAAAGATGAATAGATCAATTTAACTGCTTTCTCTCATTTTACATATGAATATACTTTTTAGTAAATGATAATTACAGATTTATAGGGTAAAGCCAATATCTTATCAGATCCTGCAATACACACTAAATAGTATTTAGAAGATGGAACAAATTTATAAGATGATGGGTGTAATAAATTCTTTTTGAAATAACATCCAGAATGTTAAAAAATTTGTTAAATTCTCTAATTAAAAGATAGAGCAGTATCCTAAAAGTTATAGAGTTAGGATTAGAATTCTATTAGAAAAATAAACTCTGATGCTGATACTCATTTCGAAGAAGATAATAATTAAATAAATATAGATAATTTATACAAAATATGCAGTAATTGCAATTCTTTGGAAAAATTACAAAATAATGATACATTTAAAGCACTTTGTTTATGCTGTGAAGATAAACAAAAATAAAAACAATAAATGAAATGTTAATGTTGTAATGTGGCTTATGAAGTATCTTATAATTATGATTAACTATTTGGAACTGTATTATAATATTGTCAAGATTGTTAAAATAAAGAATGCCATAAAACATATGAAAAGAATTGTTATTATTGTGGAAAAAAAATATGTTTATAAACAATTAAGACTATTACAGTAAATGAATAGATTAAAGAAATATGTACAGATGCTTATTTCTATTTACGACAAGTTAAATGTAAATATTGTCATTTAAATTATAATTTTCATAAACTATTAAGTTTAGAGGATTATTAAAATAATAACTATAATTGTGGTTGTAATAACAAAAACAAATGAATTTATAATAATAGATGCAATAAAACAATTATTAATTATGAATTATATTCATATAGAATTATTATTTCAAAATATTATTAAAAGCAAACTTCATTTTATTAAAATCAAATTAATGATTTTCTCATCTTAAATGTTATTATATCAATTAAACTTCAATCATAAAGTAATTAATCTTCGATATAATGAAGATTGCTTATTTCAATATAATTTTCTATATTAATTCTATTTAAAATTCTATCTGACACTTTTTTCAAATCTGTAAAAAATAGATCTATAAAGAGACTATAGAAAAATTAAATACAAATATATGCAAATATAGTGGAATACTAAAATAATTATTATTCTAATACCTAAACTAAGTTAGCTTTATTTATCCCTTTTAATGCCCAACGTAAAGTTCCTTATATACCATCAATTATTAATAAACCATCAATTATTCAAGGAAGAGAATTATTCATAACTTCTATAGTTTCATCAATAAATTATTACTATCCACTTTCAGCTGTAAAAATCAATATACCCATATAAAAATACTTATAATAATCACATGTTATCAAAATATTAAGATTCCCAATAGCCATATATTATTTTATTCTCTTAATATCCCTATATCCCATTTAACTAATAACAAACTAATTTTTAATAATTAAATAATTTATCTATATTTATAATAAATAAAAAATGTGTCACACACTGTATAAAGTGCTAAATCTACATTTGTATATAGAGTCTTCAAATTTAATGGACCAAATGTTAGCTATAAAAATATAACAATAAATATGGACTTATGTAAGTATTAAAGTCTTGCAAATATTGTAAGTCTATATTTACTATTATTGGAGTTGCAGGAATTACAGCTAATATTTAATTCCTTAAATATTTTTCTTTTATATTTTGGTAATCAAATGAAAAATGTTGATTAGTTCAGTTGATATTTTTGCATATCATGCTTCAGTGATTAAAATATTATTATAAATAACTAATGTAAAAGTAAAGTGATAAAATGGATTATGGCTAATGGAAGAGTAATTTTGTATGAGATCATAAAAATTTTTGGACTTTCAAACTTATTTCTAAAATTTTGGTTTGGATTAGAAACCATAAAATACCCATATCTAAAAATTTTATATTAATTATAATCTAAAATGGCGAACCTTGAGAATTGAATAAACATTATGAACGATAATAGGATAATTTTAAAAAAATCATGCATCATTAATTATACTATTATAATAATAAATATATATGGTAATCTTGTGCCTATTAATTCAATTATGTCATTTATTAGATTAAGTCTTTTTTATAGGACTTATTTTACTACTTACTCATTCTACAGTCAAGGATTAATCATCTTCAAATTTATTACATTAAATCATATACACATCTGTCAAAAATTTATGAATAAGATTTCAATAATTTAATCTGTGAAGAATCTTACATTTGTTAAATGAAGAATAAAAAGTTAAATAAAAAAGATCCTCGAAAATTATACTAAATCAAAGTTTAGAAATAAATTGATTATGAAGTTTACTTAAAATTAAAAAGAACTAAATTAGTAACATAATCAGATTAAGTTTCATAACATTTAATCAAAAATAATAAGATAAATTTTTGAGATATTATGTGTATACATTTTATATTGAACTTCAATAAATTTATGTATAAAGTTAAAAATTTTAGGTTAAAATTTACATTTATACATAAGATTTATGTATAAATAATACTTTTGTATTTTTTATATGAATTGTGAGTAAAACAAATAAATTTTTGATTAAAACCATGAAGAATTAGTATTAATTATCAATAAATAATGATTTCTATTTAAAAGTTGATGAAATCCTTTTAATTTAGGATGATTCATGTCTTGTCATTGTTTTATTTACTAAAGATGAATGATTTTATTCTATTCTTATTCAAATTATTAATATTATCATACTATATTAATTAGATTAATACTCTAAGATTAAACAAAATGAATTTCTATAAAATATATTGAAACTACTAAGTTATCAAGTTCATAAAAGTAAATGTCATCAAAGAGAAAACATAAAAGCATGATGATATCAATCTATTAATCATATTTTTAATATCTACTATCGATTAAGCTCCTTCACGATTTGCATCATCTTCATTCATTATTTCTATGCATTACCTAATCAATTAAATTTAAAACTTTCACATAAGTCTTTACAATTATAATTTAAGAGGCATTCTAAAATATAAAATCATTAATACTCCAATGATTAATTTATATACTTTCCAAAGTTTATATTTTTGTAATTAAACTTTTTACCTTAACTTAAGCTGAAAATTGCGAATATGATAGAGTTTGATCTTCAGCATGTATGATATCGACCTGCCTTTCTGTTGTCTCAAATCAAATATCTTTAGCAATGCAATTTAAAGCTTTTCATTATTAATATAACCATCATTTTTTTATCAATATATATAAATGCTTCATTTAATTCCTTTATAGAAGCTAAATAAAAAACTAGTAATTTAAGAGTAGCTTCTTATAGTTTAAATTGAGAAATTATAGTTAACTAAGTTCATCAACAATCTTCTTAATTAATTATCAGTAGCCTATACTTCAAAATACTTAACAAACCATTGCTCATCAATTCTTATTCTTTGTTTAGGATCCTTAGTTAAAATTTCTTACATATTCTAATGATGATTCAATTCTTTTCTGATTCCAATCTAATTCTTCAAAAAAATGATAGGCTTTTTAAGGACTTTGTCATTGATTTTTTAATTAGCTTTTATCCAACAAAATCAGAATACCCTAATTATGAAATATAAGTTATCATTTCAATAGCCCAAATATCAATTAATTAATTTAATTTTTTTATTTTATTTCTGATGCTTAATAATAAAACACACAACAATCAATTAAAATTGCTGAAGCAAATTCTTAACTTATTTCAACTTTAATTTATTCTGGTCTGATTTCTCTATGATCAATAATTCTTACAGCCTATTATTCAGAAAATATTATTCATTGAATACTTTCCTTATTATTATCCTCAAAATAATAGTCTGTTATTATTTCTTAAATATTTTGATGATCTAATTTTCTAAAATTTGACTTTTAATGTTTTTCTTTTTATTGGCATTCTCTTACACTATTTTATAACTGCAATCATTCCAGTTGTTTATTATTTTATGTTTTTAAGAATATTATCCTTTATCTATTGGAGAAGCCAAGAATTACTAATCTTTAATAATTCGACTCTCTTTTATAATTAAGGTTTTTGTAAAGTTATTACTTAATGATTTATAATTGTTATTTTCTTTGATATTCTTATTCAAATTTTGCACAGCTATTCATTATTTTATTACCCACGGATTTTAAGAAATAATGCATAGTAAATAATAAAGTGTTAAATTTTAATTATGATTTCAATAGTATATTTAATATATTGGATAATTTCAATTAAACAATTCCTTCACTTTATTAATATATCCAATAACTTTTTCTTGTAAAGTCTTAATTGTCAATTACAACCAGCATTTATGTTAAAATCAGTATCTATTTAATCTATAATTATAAATTTTCCATCTTTTTAACTTAATCTCAATCCACCCAATATAATTTACACCTCTGATAACAATTGAAATCTAATTAAATAATATAACAATAATACATTTTAGATTAGTATTGATCTTATAATCTATTGATTTATCATAATCTTAATTTTATGTAATTAAACGTTATTAATCATCAAATATGCTATTTTAATTATAATATCCAATAGACTTTTAATCATTGATATGTTATAATTTATATTTTTCAAATAAAGTATTTTCATAATTGGACTATTTAAGAAATTATTAATTTCTTTATTAAACTCAAATTGATACCTATATTATAATTAATATAAACACTTCATCTAAATTAATATAATATTTTTATAAAATAATGAGAGAAATAAAACTCAATATTATTCATATACTAAATATAGATATCACTATATTCTATAATATAAATTAATTCTGTAATTTGAGTTCATCAATTATAATTAAATCTATTATTCCATTTTCTATTAATTTTTTCTATTATTACAGTTGATATATGCCATTTAAAATCTATCTATTTTATTTTTTTATTATGAATTTATCTTCTTCTTTTATTCGCATTGATGAAGTTTTAGAATTTGATCTTGCAATGGATAATTATTTATTAGTAATTATTTCCAATGTTATATCACTCTCATTTTTTTCTTTTATCTACTTAAAATAATGATACATCATTAGAATGAATATGATCTTCAGCCAAACATAAATTTTGGATGGAAAAAAATTATCTATTATGCGTGTATTTTTCCTTGTATTTCTTCAGCAAGATATTGGATAAGTTCATTATTAATGTGAATTCATTTAGAAATGATGGCTTGATTCTTATGATAATACAACACTTATATATAATCCCATTTTAGTTTTCAAAGTTGATTATTTCTAATACGATTATGTATTTAGTTTTTAATCAATATTCATTTTTTATAAATACAAATAAAAATAATAATTCAGTCTTATTATTAAATTCTATTGATTTTGGATAGGCCACTACTTACCTTCTTATTTCTAATCATTATGAATAGTAAAAAATAAATTTTTGTCATAAACCATCTAAGGATTCATTAGATTTTCTAACAAAATTTTCAAAAATCTTATTTATATATTGATATATATATACTGCATATTACACTATTTGAAATCAATTATGAAATTTGTTTAAGTATGATAAGAGTTTTATTATTTATACATAGAAAAATCAGGTATAAATAATGGATGATCAATAAAATTTGTTCATTAATTAATTTTGAAAATTGGAATTTTTCTTGATCATTTGTAATCTTAGGTAATAATTATAATCAAAAATATTAAATTGAGCCTTCTCTAATAATTCAATATCTGGAAATCATTTTAATAAGGTAATAAATTTCTGAAAATCAAATATGAAATATTGAAATACTGCAAATGATTTGAATTAATGGGTATTTCAATTTCTTTTTCAATAAAAGTATTTCTAACATAAGATAGGCAATTTATAATTTATTCAATGTTCAATAATAAATCTTTATGAAATAAATGCTAGAATTACAATCTTAAATAAAAATCCATTTAAGATTCAAAGAAGTATCTGTCTAATTACTTTCCTTTTATCTATTCTTGTTTTTTTCATGTTTTATTAAATCCTTTCAGATCCATATGAAATTACAAATAACTTTTGATCTTTTAAATATAATAACAATCCTTCTTAAAGTTTAGAGTCTTATGTCAAGGGTATATCATAGACAAGAGGGTATTTAATTCATATAGATTTTGATCGCCAATAATCTCACCAATTAATTTAATAATAACTTTCAAATTATTATATATTTTTATAATTTATGCAATAATTATTGAAGTAAGGAGGGAACAGAAATTAAAACAGTTTAAATTTTAAATGAGATCTGCCAATTCTTAAAGAGATTTTAACTAAATTTTATATAGTAAACATTTTATTAAAGAAAAAAATGAAAATAAATAAACAGATCAATCAATGAGTTAGGAAAACAATGTCAATCAAAATGATTTCTAATAACAAAATAATAATTTAAATAAGTTTAATACCTGAAAATTAATAATAGAAATTTTAGAAAGACCTTTGAATTACAAGTAAATATAATTAGAAAAAATCATAGAAATTAGTTAGCAAATTAATTCAATTTTGCTATAGTTATAATGCCATAGAATATATAAACCTTAATCAGATTTTTTTTGTTTGATAATTAGCATTCTATTATGGAAAAAACTATTTAAAATGATATTAGTCTATCTACTAATTTAAATCATATTTATATTGATACTATTACAAATAGACTCTTGCGAATTAACCATCACTTAGGAAAAATAGGTTTATATTTATTCGTAATTGATATAGATCTTAATTTTCTTGTATGGGTCTTAATTTAATTATCATGGATTTAATGCTCTGGTTCATTATTAAAATTAACTAGTTTAGTATTTGAGAACTATTATACTTTAATAGATCAAGTCATAGTCTTCATTTAATATATTTGGCTTTCAAATCAATTATTCATTACATTTTCTAATGATTTGAATAATAAAACCACATTATTATTTGATTCAATAATATTTTAAGAAGTATTATCAGTGAAGATAAAAGGAAGGGTTTTCTTTTATTTAGTTTCCTAATAGATTTTATTATAAAAAAAATCGAAGAAGATATTTACATAATGCTTGAAATATCTTTCTGATAAAATTCAAAACTAATAATAATCCTTATTTCAATATTTTTCATAATGGGAGCATCTTTCGTTAACACTTTAATACTAATCATTGTATTTCTTAAACAGTTAAAGTTTAAATTTGATAACCCTAAATATAATTTACTTTGCGATTGTAGTAAAGCCAAAGCTTTTGAATGCTGGCTATTCTCTGAAAGTACGATGCAGTATTATAAATAACAATGCAGAAGCATAATTGATAGGAGATAACTTTCTTAATCTGTAAGAAATAATTGGTTAGCTTAAAGTCTTAAATAACTAACTTAATAAAGTATTCTACTAAATCTTCATTAATTTTAAGAACTTTATTGTTTTCTTTTTAAATTGACTCTATGTTGTTAAAAAGTAAATTTTAATCCTTATATATTACCATTATTTTGTATTATTTCCAAAGGTTAAATTGATCTAATTTTGTTGGAGAGTAATTATGCCTTTAAATGGAGACTTAGGATTTAAAATTTTAAAAATTTGAAACTAAATTATTTTTAAAACTTTGGATATTTTAGTTCTTGCATTATTATAATAATATAAATTATATATTTATATTATGTCTCCAATAGTTTTGTCTCTTTTTTTTTAATTATTATACGCTTATCAAATCTCATTCTATATTATTACATTTATTTATCAATCATTTTTCATTCTTCTTAAATCCAATTGAATTGAGTTGATTTTGGAGTTTGGGAATTGAATAAATATTATTGTTCTCAAGCTTTACTTAAATACCCAAACATTTCCTCTTAAATAATTTCTAAACATAATGAATGTTATATTGCTATTTTATGAAAGCCACTAGACATTTGAAGGTCTTGATAAGGTTAATCAAAATGAGTAACCAGTTAATCAAAGTCTCAGTAATTCTAGATGTAAAGTATCAAAATTTACATTAAAATCACATCATCAGTATCAGAACTTACTAATTAAGAAGAATGTTGTATGGAAGAGATATTATTAAACAAAAAAATAATGTAGGTATTTAATTAATTTTAAATCTATTATTGTTTCATTTATTCAACCTTTTTCGAATTATTTCATAATCTTTCATTATACGATCTAAGTCTTCATTTTGTGTTTATTTAAGTTTTAGATATTCAGTATCTTTAGCTTTATCTCTAATTCAAAATAAGTTTTCTCATTTTCATTTTGTTTTAGTTTTTGAATTTCAGTGTCCTTAGCTCTAATATTTTATTCTAATTAGGTTTTTTCATTTTCTATTTGTTTGAGTTTTAAATTCTTTTCTTCTAATTATTTATTTTTTTCATTTTCATTTTGTTTTAGTTTTTGAATTTCAGTGTCTTTAGCTCTAATATTTTATTCTAATTAGGTTTTTTCATTTTCTATTTGTTTGAGTTTTAAATTCTTTTCTTCTAATTATTTATTTTTTTCATTTTCATTTTGTTTTAGTTTTTGAATTTCAGTGTCTTTAGCTCTAATATTTTATTCTAATTAGGTTTTTTCATTTTCTATTTGTTTGAGTTTTAAATTCTTTTCTTCTAATTATTTATTTTTTTCATTTTCATTTTGTTTTAGTTTTTGAATTTCAGTGTCTTTAGCTCTAATATTTTATTCTAATTAGGTTTTTTCATTTTCTATTTGTTTGAGTTTTAAATTCTTTTCTTCTAATTATTTATTTTTTTCATTTTCATTTTGTTTTAGTTTTTGAATTTCAGTGTCTTTAGCTCTAATATTTTATTCTAATTAGGTTTTTTCATTTTCTATTTGTTTGAGTTTTAAATTCTTTTCTTCTAATTATTTATTTTTTTCATTTTCATTTTGTTTTAGTTTTTGAATTTCAGTGTCTTNTATTATGTCTCCAATAGTTTTGTCTCTTTTTTTTTAATTATTATACGCTTATCAAATCTCATTCTATATTATTACATTTATTTATCAATCATTTTTCATTCTTCTTAAATCCAATTGAATTGAGTTGATTTTGGAGTTTGGGAATTGAATAAATATTATTGTTCTCAAGCTTTACTTAAATACCCAAACATTTCCTCTTAAATAATTTCTAAACATAATGAATGTTATATTGCTATTTTATGAAAGCCACTAGACATTTGAAGGTCTTGATAAGGTTAATCAAAATGAGTAACCAGTTAATCAAAGTCTCAGTAATTCTAGATGTAAAGTATCAAAATTTACATTAAAATCACATCATCAGTATCAGAACTTACTAATTAAGAAGAATGTTGTATGGAAGAGATATTATTAAACAAAAAAATAATGTAGGTATTTAATTAATTTTAAATCTATTATTGTTTCATTTATTCAACCTTTTTCGAATTATTTCATAATCTTTCATTATACGATCTAAGTCTTCATTTTGTGTTTATTTAAGTTTTAGATATTCAGTATCTTTAGCTTTATCTCTAATTCAAAATAAGTTTTCTCATTTTCATTTTGTTTTAGTTTTTGAATTTCAGTGTCCTTAGCTCTAATATTTTATTCTAATTAGGTTTTTTCATTTTCTATTTGTTTGAGTTTTAAATTCTTTTCTTCTAATTATTTATTTTTTTCATTTTCATTTTGTTTTAGTTTTTGAATTTCAGTGTCTTTAGCTCTAATATTTTATTCTAATTAGGTTTTTTCATTTTCTATTTGTTTGAGTTTTAAATTCTTTTCTTCTAATTATTTATTTTTTTTATCTTAATTTTGTTCTAGTATTTGAATTTCAGCTATCTTTTCTGTTATTTTTTCTTATAATTATGTCATTTAAATTGAAAATTATTCTTTAATTTATTTCATTTCAAAAGATTTTTTCTTCATTTCTTCAGTAAATTGTTCCTCTTTTTTCTTCACAGTATTTTCTATAGCTTATATCATATTAGTTGTTATTTCATGACTTAGTTAATTACAAAATTATTCCTTGTGTACACCTGGTATTTAAAAGAGGGTAAATTAAATAAAAGATAATCGGTTTCCACCTAGGATTCATAATGCCTCGTTTTAATTAAATTTTTTAGATCTTCAATACTCATTTGTAGAGATTTCTAAATTTGATTTAATGGACACTAAAAAGCTACTGAAAATAGATTACATTAATTATTTACTGCATTCCTTAAGTATCTTCCTCTATTTAAGCTGATGCCTAGCGCATGTAAATGAATAATAATAAAATTTAATAATGTTTTTATTTGAAAAAATGAATTTCTATTAAAATCAAGATGTTTGAATTATAATATGACTTTAAAAGAAATTTTATTTATTTATTAATATAGTTATCAATTGACTTTTACTTTAGTCTGAATAACTATTAGGAATTCCAATTACTTGCTCTATACTTCATATTTTTGGATTATTAGGATAAAAGTATAAACATTTCTAAATGATAAAGATGAATTTTCAACATTCTAACACTATGATTTCATTTAAGAAGATTGGACTTTTTAATAATGATAGATAAATCCTTTAATAGGTAAATTCTTTTATATTCAGAGTAACACTGTTATGGATATCTAAAGTGAAAATTAAAGCATTTGATAAATGTCAAAATTAATTAATGAATTACACCTTCATTACACCATATAGTATAACCATGTAATTATTGTTTCGGAAATGAATGAATGAAATTAGCGCAGACTATTGTAAATTTAAGGCGTTTATAATATACTATAATATAAAAGTGTAGAAAAAAATTAAAAAATTGCATGACTTATCTACTTTTCATTCTCTTTGTAAAAGTTTATCTAAAATCTTACTTTTTAAACGGTTGGCCATGTCAATATATTTTAGCTCTTTTACGCATTTTATTGTTATTCCAATATAACTTAATACAATACCTATCAAGCAAGCTTCTTTTGTAAAATATTAGTTTTATTTTACTTTCAATTAAACTTTTAGAATAAATTGAATTTACTTTTGTCCAGTCTTAAGCTTTATTAAAATTTGAGACTGTTCAATAACTTCCATGTTAATGAAATTGTACAATAAGCGATCATTTTGGATCTAATAAATAATCATTTCATCTTCACTTACCTTTTTTGTTTCTTGTCTCAAAATTTTGATAACCAATTCTAATTCTCTTTCAACTTTACTCAAACCAATATAGAACTAATCAAATAATTTAAATCCTCTCCTCATGCTTCACTCAAAAAATATATTCATCATATTCAATCAATCTACTTAATCTCTCAATCTGGTTTACACTATTAACACTTAGAAAATTCTAATAAATCAGTATTTATTTAAAAAATCTTTTTTTAATTCCTTCTTCTCATTTTCCAAGATTTTTTTGGAATTGTTAAATTTCTTTAATTAAGGAAATTAAAATTTTTCATAATTTAAATCACGTTATAGGATTTTCATATTTCTTCTCAATTGCAATAAAATTTTATCATATATTTTTTCTTTCCTAGCTAAAATAGTTTGTAATGTTGACAGGATAATTGTCGCCTTTTTACATTAAAAAATTGATTTTATTTTCATGTAAAACAGCTTTTAGTTTTGAAAATAAGATGATTGCTTTATTATTATTAAAAATTTTGATTATTGAAATTTATCAAATTGCCATTTACCATATTATATTTGTCCACTAGTAAAATCTATTTTCCCCAAATCAAAGTCTCCACCCAATCTCCATAATAATAATTTCCATCAGCCCATTTATATTTACCCTTTTCATGCATTTCATCATTTACTAATTCTCCATGATATTCTAATTTATTTAGCCCTTTTTATCTCATTTATTATTTTTCCAATCACCATTATATAAAGATCTATTGGAGTATTTCATTATACCAGTTCCTTCTCTGTTATCATTTTTTCAATCTCCATAATACAAATCACCATTTGCATATTTCATCTAACTCTTTTTTCTCGATTATTATTTCTCCAATCTCCATAATACTCATCTCCATTGGTCCATTTATAATTACCCTTACCTTATCTATTATCATTTATCCAACCTCCTTAATATTCAGCCCCTTCAGTATATATCCTTTATTTTTCTTCATGCTAAATTCCATTAATAAAAAATCCATCATTGTGATTTCCATTAATGTATTTTATTGCATGTTCACCAATTAACCCCACAGGCCACATGCTCATCTTCAAATTATTTTTTATTATAAAAATGGCTAATAGAAATATAAAGCAAATATGTCATTTTAATCAATTAAGAAATATTTTAAAAATAAATTTAATTATTGTATTTAATTATTCTAAATAAAAATATATAAGAATAATTAATCCCTCAAAAATTAAACTGATTAAACGCTTTTTCTGATATTACTTGAAAATTATTCTATACACTAAATAAATTAATTTATAATAATTATAAATTTAAAAAATTTGATAATTATTTATCAATATCATTTATAAGATTATTGATTATTAATAATAAAATAAATAGAAGATAATAAAAATCATCATGATTAAGCGAAAATAACTTCACTGCTCTGATTATAATCCGCAATAATTTTATTGGTCGGATTTTAGAAATAAATCATGTCAACAAATAATTTAATGGTTTAAAAGTAATTGATTAATTAAATATCAAGAAAACATATTTACATAATTTGATGAAGCAGAAGCTTAGGTGCACTCAAGGGTAAGTAGGACTAAAGCATGATTTAATTTTTAGAAGAGAAGACAAAATTTCAATGAGTAGGTACGATGGCAGTAATAATAATAACCGAGAGCATTATCAAAATATACAAAATCTATATAAAGGTCACAAAAAATAATTATTAAGTTTAAATTAACCCTATACATAATTTAGAATCTTTTATTATTAAACATCAAATAACTTCAATTCTATAAAAATTATTCAATTTGATTTTGAGTTTTTGAATTCTAAATTGAATTCATATTTATATAAAAAAGTCATAGGATATAATATCTTAGAAAAAATTATTATTAATGGATTATATAAGAAATAAAATTAAAAATATCAAATTTTTACAAGAGAAATAGTTATTATTTTTGATTTGTAAGGAAGTGGGATCAATAAATATTTTAAGTTATTTTATGTTAAAGAAACCTTGATTGAGAGTTTAGACAAAATATCTCAAAAATTTTAATTAGAAGAAGTGGCGTATTAAGATTTACAATAAAAAAAATTTATTTTTTGGATAATTCAAGAGCTTAATTTTGCATCTGCATTCTTCAGTGTCAAATTGTAAATGATTAAATCCATTGTATTTGCAAGCTCTATTCATATAAATGGAAGCTTTGATTGAAAATATCTTATCCTTCGAAAGATTTTAGAATTAAAATACAGAGTCTTATTTTTTGAGTTAATTATTAAATATTAGATTAATTTCTAGTCATTTTATATTAAATTACCAAATAGATATTTTGAAATACTGGGCTATGGATTGAAAATATCCTCAGTTATGCAAAAATTGCACGATTAGTCTATAATTTAGATTCTGGAATTTATATAGAAAATTAATAAATTTAGGCATTAATTATATATGTTATAAAATAGAATCGAGATATTTTGAATATGTTGAATTAAGAGAATTAACTAAATTGAAGAATATTTACTAAATCAAAGGAGGATATCTCAACTGATCCTTAAATGGAATAATATTTAAATAAAATATTTCCGTTTAGAATGTCATGAATAATTGATAATTTAAAATCTCTTATAATAACAGAAATTCAACTTTTTCAATCAAATTAAACAAATCAATAGTAATACTAATGGTTATTTTATATAATTAAAACAATCATTGTTTGGATCTATTCCATCAATATTATTTGCTTATTTTTAGTTTTTATTTTCATTAATATTTATTTAATGTTTATTCAGTTCCTCCTTTTTCAATTTTTAAGAATAATTGTTGAAGCATACTATCTTTAACATTTTGTTACTCCATCAAACACTGATGACGAAGGTAAATATCTAATCATTGATTTAGGTTGGTTAATCAAAAATCCATATAATGGAGCGTCTAGTCGTATATATAGTTGTGGAGTAAACACTATATTTGGAGGATATTAAATATTTGGATGCAGCACATCTAAAACTTCAATGATGAAATATTTTATGTTGCCACCACATTACAAGGTGCGTATTGATATAACCTTCTGGAAGTTTAATATTAATATATCTTAAGAATTGATGATTGGCCAAACACACAACTTTTTTACATAATTATTGATTAATGGACTTAGTCTTGGTATTTTACGTCTAATACAGGATCAAATTAATGTGGTGGTCCTGGTACAGACTATGGTACTTCATATTATAATGATTTTCCATTACATACATTAAATTCAATAATTGTTGAATTATACTCTGATTGTAATAACAATGTATTTTATATTATTATTATCTTAAGAACTTTTGGGGTCTTACTAATTTCTAGATTACATTAAATGAATGTTACTAAGGATGTCAATTTTGTTTAGATTCAACAGTTGATTGCAACTTGTGGAAATTGTGGCAATCTTTTTTTTAATTATAAAATCTTGATAATGGTTTAGAAGGATGGATTAGAAATAAATTTCCATCCTTTACATACTCAACAAATGATCGTAAAATTATTAAATATTATAGTTTAATTGAATATGCTTGTCTTAAATTAATATAATTCTGCAATAACTTATCTTACACTACCAGATCATTAATCTTTGATTATTCAATTTAGAATTGAATATTTATCAGTATTGCCAATAACAGTGAGTATTTATATAAATGACGAATATAAATATGGACTTATCAGTTATCAAAAGTATGTGGATTATAGAACATGGTAATTAGATGATACAAAAAATTTAATTAAATTAGAAATATATAGTGTAGATGGCAAAGTAGGTATCCGTGAATTATCAATAATTCTTAGGGGTCCAATAAATTTAATATCATGTATTGATGATAATTTGGTACCTTTTGATGGCTGTTTTGCTAAACAAAAATCATGTTTAGAAGGTTGTGTATTTTGTGTTAAAGGAGAATGTTTGATGTGTGATACTAGATGGGAGTATAATTCTGTTAATTAAATTTGTGTACCTTTGTGTGGAGATAAATATATTACAGCAAATGAGGAATGTGATGATGGAAATGATCTTCCTTTTGATGGATGTCATTAATGCTAATTTTCATGTCCTCTAAATTGTTAAAATTGTATCTTTGGCTAATGTTAGGTTTGTAATTCTGGATATTATTACTCTAATAGAATATGTTATCAAATCTATGAAAATTTACTTATTTAACCTATTACTCAGGTTGAATTTAACTACCTTGTCTAAACTGATATAGCATAATGTGGAGATGGAAAAGTTTAATAAGATGAAGAATGTGATGATGGAAATAACTTCCCTCATGATGGATGCTATAATTGTTATTTTTAGTGCATTTTAAATTGTTAATAGTGTAGCTTTGGAGCTTGTTAGCAATGTAATCCAGGATATGAATTAATAAATAGAAAATGCTTAGAAATACAAAAATAATTTAGATCTATAAATTGTGATAAATAAGATTCAATTTTAAGTGAATATTTTATTTAGGAATTAAGCTTATTTACATATTTTGATACTTCTGATACTTATTTTAATGATATATGCAATCTTGAGAGATCAAGAATAAAATTGAATAATCAAATATTTGAATTTAGATGTCCCTTATTTTGTGAAAAATGTGAATATGGATAATGTAAAAAATGTTTGATTAACCATTTTCTATTAAAAAATTAATGTATCTCCAAAATTACGAAAGGTGTACTTTTATTTGAAGATGGAATTCATACAGCAAGATTAGAAATTGGATGCTATAAATGTAATGATAGCTGTCAAATTTAATGTCTTTAGTGTTTAAATTCTTAATGCTTATATTGTATTGATGGTTGGTCACTTATGAATGGGATATGCTTATAGATTTGTGGAGATAATTAAATAGCAATTTGGTCTTATGAACAATGTGATACAAATTTAAATGATTGTTTTAATTGTAAGTTTTTATGTCCGGAAAATTGTTAATATTGCAAAAATCCTTAAGCATGTTTGATTTGTGATTAACCATATGTTGAGATAAATCATTAATGTTAATTAACATGTATATATGGATGTAAGAAATGTATTAATGGTATTTGTTATGATAACTGTTCAAATGGAGAAATGAATATTGATGGTATTTGTTATTCAATTTGTGGTGATGGAATAAAATAATAAAAAGAGTAATGTGATGATGGAAATAAAATATAATTTGATGGATGCTTTAATTGTGAATTTTCATGTCCTCAATATTGTGAAAATTGTTTTGAAGGAATTTGTATTGAGTGTTAGCAATACTTTAAATTAATTAAAAATGCATGTTATGATGACTGTGGTAGTGGAATCAAATCTTATGATGAATAATGTGATGATGGCAATCTTGTTGATGTTGATGGTTGTACTTCTAATTGTAAGATTGAAGTTGATTATAAGTGTCAAGATAAAGCTAATAGTTATTCTGATTGCCAATATTCTGAATCTCCTTAAATGCTAATCAAATTTTTAAATCAAACTTATAATAAATATTATCTTCAAATTGTGTTCTCATAAGCAATCTAATTTAGAGATAATTATGTTTTGGAATCTCTTTTTTATTTTAGTATTGATGAATTACTCTATGAAGATTATTAAATAAAATTAGAATCAAACTATGAACCAGTAATTAATTAAATTCTAAATTTTTCATTTCAAATATAAATTGAACTCTTAATCTCTACTAATAGTAGCCTAGTTTAGTTTAATGTAGCAATTATGAATGAAGTATATAATTCAAATGATATGGAATTACTTAATCCATCAGAGAAAATATTACTTAAAATATATTCTTAAATGAGTCAATAAGATATTGAAAAGACTAAATAACTCACTCAATATTAAGAAGCGATGATTATAGCATAAGGGATAGGAAGTGTAATTGTATTAATTTCTGGAAATTTTGAAATTTTTGTTGAAATCTTAGACAACTTACAGTATCAATCTTATTTAAAATACATCAATATTATATATCCTGAAAACCTATACCTTTTTTTTGAATCAACTAATTTAATAAGTATTATTCCAATTTTAGATTATTTATAAATTAATGGATTTTATTAAAGATTTCTATATTTAGAATTTATTGAGTCTTATGCTAAATTAAAATTTTATAATTTAAATGCCCATTTAATCACTAATTTATAATTCTTTTTCATTCAAATAATTTCAACTTTTATATTTGTAATAATAATTCAAACGATTTCCAAAATCAGCTTTAGATTAATCTATAAAATTTAAACATAACATTTTTTAATTTTTAAGCTAAGGAGTCTTTAATCAAAATTCCTTATAAAAATACTCTATTGGATTTATAATTTTTTTCATTACATCTTGACTTTTTTGTATGAATTCAATTAAAATGGTGCAAAGGATTTGTTGCTTGCAAATTCATGGGATTTATTATTTAAAACATTTTTATGTTTAACATCATCTTCTAAATAAGATATTATTTCTCGAATGTAAAATATCTTTTCTTATTTGACTTTGTCAGCTTCAGGTACTTTTATTATATCCTCATTAAAACATGTTTTTTCAAAAAAGGATCGTAAATTGAATTATAGATATAGGGCTATTTATTTATTTAAATAATTTTTATTTTGCTATTTCTTGATATGTTTTCAAAATCATTAATTGATTCAAATATTAATGTTGGGAACTACAAATATTATTTACTTAATTGCATTAATTTTTGTTGAATTTAATTTGAAGAAATTAGATAAAATATAAATTATAATAATGGAAATTTCAATAATTACATTCACTTTTTCTTCAATATTTTATTTAAAAGATTACAATTTTTTAATTAGTGAGTAAAAAAAGACTCTTTTGGGTTTTGCTTAAATTTATTTACTCATTTCAGGATTATTAGGAATTTTCATTAAATAGGTAATTATGATATATTAAAAAATAAAAATAAGATGCTTTAAAAGGAAAAAGAGGAATAAAATCTCAAAATTAGTAACACATTTAATTTTTGAGGTTGTTTCATGACTCGACATTTTTACTAGTATTATTATTTAAAGTTGATAATTTACAAAAATAAAAATTATTAAAAATAATCATACATCTTATTTTAATCCATCAATTCAATCAGATAAATTCTAAGAGTTATTTTTTAAGTTTTAAATTCTCTTTAAGAGTTTGATGTTCCAATTTATATTTTCAATTATATATATCTTTATTTAATAATAGGGCAAATCATTTATTTAGAAAAAAATAATTTATAAATCATTGATTCTTTTTTTATTATAAAGTAGAAAATTGTTTTAATTAAATAGAAGATATAATTTACGTAATGTATATTTTAAACTCAATTCTAAATTTAAACATTAAGGGATTCCTTAATAGATTAACAGTCAGAGCTCTAAAAACTTTAATTTAAGCAATACAAAAAATAAGATGTTGTATTATCATTTAGCATAATTCTTGATATTGTGTTTGTAT